TATCTGGGAGGTCTTGCTTCTTGTATATATATACAGTATGTGTATGGCATTTTTATGTGTATGTAAACATATGTATGTGACTGCTATGTTCTGAATATAGTGAGATGAATGAATGAATAAAATGTACCTGGCCAAGAGCCGGAAATTCTGTTCACACAGGCTGCGTTCATGCAGTACATGGTAGCTAACCATTTAGATCCTAGCAAACATCTGTCCTCACCTGTGTGTTGATACAAGAATATCCCTGATCCAGATATCAAGAAAGATGATGGTGGAATCACCATCAGGTGTACATGGCCCTTAGATTTTTTGGCAGTATGGCAGTTATAGTAGAGCTTATTACTGATACATACATTATAATCCATGGAGGAATCACAGCAGGTTTTTTTGCAAGCAAGGTCACTGAAAGTAGAACAGTAGTCTACTAGTGCAACTGGACTAGCTGTGCCTCACTCAAGATATAATTGACAGTTTAGTGGGTCAACCTTGATACACTAATTGGCAAACACCGACTTACTGGGTTAAAATGTGCTCTATTTAAGGGACATGTACGTATCATGACTGTGCCAATAGGATACTTGAAATTGGAATACGTATGTGTGACTGGTTAATGATAAGAGACTAAACTTGCTAACTGATAGCACTCGATATTAACCGTTAGCGTTTCCGGATCCTTGGTAATGGTTGTGCTAACAATCTGGCGTTCTGACACGGGTGATAACGGTTAGCCCCAGTGGTCGTCTCCTGATCCGGATACTAGGGCTCTCGTGTGAACCTGACCACAATAAACTCCACTTTACAGTACATTGCATAGCTTTATAAATATTTTCACAACTATTAATAATAATAATGATAACTGTTATAATATTAATAATATGATAATGATGATAGTTATTATTTTTGTTATGATTGTTATAATGAAGATAATGGTAATTGTAGTTATAATGGTACATAATGGTGATAATAATAATAATAATTATAATAATTATAATTATAAATAATAAATAATAAAATAATAATGGGAATTTTACTGTAATGATGGTAATAATAACAATAGGTTTTGTAGAATAATTATAATTATTATTGTTATTACTGTACTTAAATGGTGATTGTGATGACCTTGTTTTTTGCTTTTAATGACTGTTTTTGCATTTATTTTGTTTTTTTATATTTTTTTTAATTTATTTTATTTTATTTTTATATATATATATATATATGGTTTATAAATATATATATGGTTTTCCCATACAGTAATCCATGGGTGTAATCTATTTACAAAAAAAAATTGATATTGTGGACATTAGAGAGCATGTAAAATATATTTTTAATAATATTTTTATTTTATTTTATCAGGATGAACGCTTTCCTATGGGTACTGGCATTGATAACGGTCAAGCCAACTCTCTTCTTGTTTTACCAATTTTGCTACCAAATGGCGATATACATGGTAAATGTTAGGAATTTTTTTTTTGTAATTTTAATGTAAATTTCCTTTTATGTTTAATATGTTTCATGCTTTTTGATGTTATTGAGGTTAAACGTAATTTGTAATTCATTAATTTAATGGTTTTGAAGCAATAAATACAACGATATAATTATTATAATAATTTCTATAGTAATCATTTATAATTCTGTAATTTTCTAGTTTGTTAACAAATTTTTCTGCAATTTTAATGTAAATTTCCTATTATGTTTAATATGTTTCATGCTTTTGGATGTTATTGATGTTTAATGTAATTCGTAATTCAGCCTTTTTGGCTGCCATGTTTTTATGAATTTTTGAATAAAATTCCATTATATATAGAAATAGTTAATTATTCTTTTTCATGTGTGCTTTGTCTATAGTCATGTTGAAGTTGATTATGATTTTCTGTGTGTTTGTTAGTTTATTGAGCATGGCCATACATTGTTTTGTTTATTCAAATTTTCCACACAACATAACACAATTTTAAATTTAAGTGCTGTGTTTATTCTAATAATATGATATGAATACTTATACAAGCTAAATATTGTAATTATCATGTAAATGTAGGTTATAAGAAAATGATAAGTTTAAATCAGAGTAGGGAAATAAATTTATGCTGATTGGTCAGGATGTTCAGAAGGATGAATAATTATGGTGAGCCTACATATTTCAGCCAATCAAATGGCTGTGATGATATTTTCAGTGAGTCATTGATATACGTATCTTTCAGGTGTTATAGAGCTTTCTCGTAATGAGAAGAGCAAGCCATTTAATGAAGAAAATAAACAGGTAATTTTATCATAAAATCATCAATTTAGCACAGAAAAGCATTTTCTCCAGCCTCCACATTGTCTGTAGAAACTATTAGTGATAACAAATATAAAGACATTAAAAATGGAGAAAGTAAGGTAACGAAAAGAATTTTTTTCTTAATATAAACCAGTTTTAATTATCACTAATTTGCATTATAATAAATATTGAAGATGAATAAAATATCATCATTAGGACTAGATGATACTGTATTTTTTTTGTTTTTGTTTTACCAAGCAAATGTATTATTCAAATTGCTTTCATTACTAGTTTTTATATTTAATATACTGTAAATACCATATGTCTTATATAATATCATATTCCATTTTTTAACTTATTGAAATTGTAATACAGTAATGGTCTTTTCATAACAAATTCTTTACATATGATTAATACATTTGATTTATTATTATTTATCTATTATTTTAAATTGTTGGTAATATATTTCCATATTTTAATATTATTGCTGGTCTTATAATCATCAACAATTCTTGATAAATAATGTTGTCTAATGTTATTAATTTATTTTATAAATCATAATAAGTGCTAAAGTGGATATTGGCATAATGGAAATTGACATTTTTTTTTTTTATAATTGTTTCTTATTATCCTCATTATTAAGTAATGATGGAAGAAAAGCATAATAACTTATTATAATAGTTAATTATAAATAATATTAATTATAATATTTGATAATTTACTTTCAAATAGGTGGCATGCATGTACCTCACATGGGTTGGTATTGCTATTCATAAAATTCAGGTAAATTTTTTATAGTTATTCTATTCATTTATATTCACGAGCCAATGATTGTGTATAGCAATTTTCACTGCCTTTTATAATTGGCAATCCCTTGCATACGACAAATATATAAACAAGATGCTCTATATTATAGTAAATCACATCTAGTGATTCAGTTGTCTTGCTCATGAGAACACTGACTGTAATGAGTGACTATGTTAACTACATGAATGACTATGTTAATCACATGATTGACTATGTTAATGACATGATTGACTATGTTTAGTGCATGGTTGACTATGTTGATCCCATGATTGACTATGTTAATCACATGCCTGACTATGTTAATCACATGATTTACTCTGTTAATCACATGATTTATAATGTTAAAAAAGTGTCATTAAACCAACAATACAGCTCCAGTCTGAATAATGATAAAGAAATGTCTCCTGCCCCCCCCCCAGTTCACCACCTACTTGATATGATGATTGGATTTAATCATATTATTGACTATGTTAATCATGTGATTGACTATGTTAATCACTTGATTGACTATGTTAAGCACATGATTGACTAGTAGTGGCGTATCTAGTGGGTGCGTGGGGGGGGGGGGAGAGCACGCCCCAAAAAGTTACGATCAAGTTATTAAAAATTGCCTAAAATCACCTTATTTTGTGAATTAGCACCCCTCAACTGTTCATTGAGCCCCCCCCCCCCCTCCCCCTCACTCCCTCCCCCATCAGTACCCCATTTCAAGACTTCTAGGTACCTCACTGTTGACTAGGTTAATCTCATGATTGCTATGTTAATCTATGAGTGGCTATGTTCAGGTTTAGTGTTGATCATGTTCATTATGATCTATTAATAATGGTTATAAGCATTTTTTAGCATTAGGCTCAAATTTGCTGTGATCCTTTTCTCAAAATGATCTAAAAATTAGAGGTGAGCACCTTCTTCCTCCCCTTTGTATTCGCGTCTGTGCAGCATTAATTTATTTTTTAGTTTCTTTGTAGCTAAAAGCGCCTTGAGACTGTTTCTACTGTGGAAGACGCTATAAGTATGTGACCATTGACCATTTTCAATAATGTAACGT